CCCCCCCCCCCCCCCCCCCCTCTCTCTCTCTCTCTCTCTCTCTCTCTCTCTCTCTCTCTCTCTCTCTCTCTCTCTCTCTCTCTCTCTCTCTCTATGTGGCTTCTACCATCTCCTACCACTACACCATGAAAATCTTCTTCATCACCCTTAGTTGCCCCTCCATCACCTTCACATAGTACCAAATAGTTGGTCATTCATTCCTGGTTTGAAGTGCCTGCGACACTCTTATGGGGGCTTCTCAGATTGGGATGTCTGTCTGCCTGGTGGGTGATGACGGATGCTCGTCGGAGTGACTCCTTGGCTCAGTGGGTGGTGGGAACCAGCAGTCTGTGGGGTTCACCCGCGATGTGTGAAGGTGATGTGCTGGTTTGCTCCGTGTTGGATGTGTGGACTGCCTCGTCTACGCTCCACCGCTGCCTTGCTGTCTGCTTTGCTTGCTTCGCAGATTGTTCTTGCCAAGCTGCTGTGTTCATTGTGTGGTGTGGCCATGTTGTTCGCGTGGCCTTGCGCTTCGCTGCTCCGCTGCTTTGCCGTCCATCCACTGGCCGTGCCTTCTGTACCTGTTGCTTGCGTCCCTTGTAGTTTGGTTACCTTGTTGGTGTTGCCTTGTGCTTCGCTGCGCGCTTGCAATGCTGCTCGTCCCGCTCGCCCTGTCGTTCCTTACAGTAGTCTTTGTTGTTGTGAAGTTAGGTTGCTTCGACAGCGTTGCCTGGTGCTTCGCCGAGTTGTTGCCTGCTGCATTGTGCATGGTTTGCCTTTGTGCTTCACTGTGTGGTTGCTGCGCTTCGCGCGCCCGCTTGCTGTGTCGTTCCTTCCAGTAGTCTTTGGCGTTGAGCAGTCGTGTTGCCTCTGCAGCATTGCCTGGTGCTTCGCTGGGTTGCTGCCCGCTGCTGTGCTCCGTTTGGGGACTGTCTGCCTTCAACAAGGGTCATATGGTCCATAACCCAAACCGTCAAATACGGAGATTCTGCAGGTTGTCGAGGGTTCAGCCTCCTGATGAGTAGGTGCAACTCTGACGAAACAATCTTCATCATCAATTTCTTTTTTTGTCTTTCCTTTTTTTGAAACTCGTATTTTTTTTGGTTTGCGTGTCTTGTGTGCTTGTGCTTTGCCTGCCCTCCTGCCTTCCCAGTGCCCTTAAGCTTTTGTTCTTTGTTGCTGCCTGCTATCCTATGCCTTGCTGCCGTACGACTTTCTGTGCCCACCCACCTCCCCCTTGCCCTCCTGGCATTGTTCTCTGTTGCTGTTCGTTGGCACATGCCTTGTTGCCTCATGCCTTTTCCTTCACCGTCTTTCGTTTGCTTTCCCCTTGTTGTCTTGTACTGTTTGTCATTGTTGCCTAGTGCTGTTTGTCTGCCCACCCGCCTCCCACGTGCCCTCCACCCTATGTTTTCTGCTGGTGCTTGTCGTTTGCTGCTTGTCTTTTTGTCTTGCTGCCGTTTGGCTTTGTTCTTTCCTTATAGTTCTTTTTGCTTCACGATCTTTCAAACCTTGGCTTTATGTGCATTCCTCTTATGGGCATGCCGCGCTGCGGGCTCCTTTGCATGTGTTGTTTGTAAGCACACCTCTTGACGCAACAGGCCGCGGCATGGTCGCAGGAGCCTTGTACCACACAGATACACACACACGCCTGTTTGCCACACACTTTTTTCTTTTCTTTTATGATGATTGATTGATTGATTGGTTGGTTGCAGGGGGGTCACACACACAACATACACCCCGCACACACACACACACACACACACACACACACACACACACACATGTCGATGAGCATTTGCAAGCACTGCACCCCCCGGAGAGCAATCCTGCTGATTCTACCACAAACAGTGAAAGGACCTCTCCACAGGATGATGGCTGTGCCCTCCCGTTGTGTCGTCGCACAGGTACAGTGCGGTTGGCATGTACACGACATAGCCTCTGCTCCGAACACTATGAAGGGATGGTCGCTGCTAGCCTCTCACACGAAAATTGTGATCCCCAATCCTGTGCTCATCCCCCCCACCCCCTGATTACTTGCCCAGCATGCCGTTGTGGCCGTGATCTGCCATGCTTAAATAACTGTGAACGTCAGCCTTCCATACTAATGACATGTCAGCAACATGCCATGTGTCGTCAATGCTTCCAGGAAGCTGTCATAGAAAGTGTGTGTCTTTACCGCGTGGACCATCCCCGGTGCCATCACCCTCCACATCCTCTCCTAGCATGTCCTACATGCGGTATTGGTCATACACCTACGGCAACCACTGACGGATCTCCCTCTTTCATGCCAGACGAACGACGAACACAGCATTCCGAGGAGGCAAATAGACTTCTATATGAACCACCGGCAGAGCGATGTGCTCATAGTTTATCGCCACCAGGGCGAGCTGTTGTGGATCATATCCTGCAGCAACTGAATGCCCTTGCGTTGGACCGATCCTCCCTGTTCTCGTCTGCCCATAGAGAAGGAATACATACTGAGGAAGCCCAAGAAAGATGCCCCATGCCGTTTTGTGATGACCCGCCA